CCCCACCTTCCCTCTTTCTTTTTTTTTTCCCTTATTTTGTTCCTTTCCGCATCCTTCTCTTGTGTGTTCACTGTTATACGACTCCGTCGTCTTCGTTTTCAGTCTTCTTGCTCTGCATTGCTCAGTGCGTCAACTCGTATTCCTCCGTCTTGGCCGTTTCTGTTGCCGCCCAAGCCCCCCTCAAACTGGTCACGCTCTGCCCGCCCAGGCATTGCCAGGACCCTGATTACGTCGGTGGCAAACAAACTGCCCCAAGCACTACTACAATCCCACCATTCGAGCCGAAATTCTGTCAAAGAGTACACGATCACCCTCTCGTCTATCACTGTCAACCTCTGGCGTGCCGAATATACTTGCTCGTCTCCGTCTGACCGGCATTCGCTCATTCGTCTCGCCAACTTTTTCCGACTCAATCAAGCGCCTCCACCACAATATGGCAGACGACCATGATACTTGCTCTACGGGCTCGCATCCCATTGTCCGCTCCGACTCCTCCACATCAACCGCTCCTTCTGACCATAACGAGCCCGTCATTCACCAGCCCATCCCGACCCGTCCACGTCTGCCGAGTCGCAAGAGCAGCGGGCCACTCGTCGTCCCCCGTGATAGCTCAGAAGTCGGCCCCGTCGACTCGCACTTTGGTCCTGACGACGTCCGCGCCATGAGCCCCCGACGAACCAGCGAAGACATTGACAAGCTCGGCAAAGAAGCTCGCGAAGAGCTGCATCGGTGAGCCCTCGCCTCAATCAACGCAACGGCCATGTCATCGCCGTGCTAACCATGTCCAGACACGCCAAAGCTCTGCAAGAATCGCTCATTGATATCTTTAACCGCATAGAGGCCGTTCGTGAAGAGCACGACAAGCTCGACAGTAACAACAAGTTCCTGCAAAAGTACATTGGCGACCTCATGAGCACCAGCAAGATTACAGCGTCCACCAGTCGAGCCAAGAAATAGACTTGCACGCCCGCGGCCTCGCCTTTTTTCGCACTGGCAGTTTCTTGATCAACTCTACCTTGACTATTGGCAATCATTAACTAGACTACGCATCCGTTTCGCCGATTCCTGTCACTACGCCTCTACGATTCGTTTCGGCTCTCGAGCGAGCACTTGAAGCGCCAGCTTTGCAAAAACAAGCCCACATATCCGCGGCACGATACCCCTGCCGCTGGCGCTTTTCTACCTTGATGCATTTCCTTCCATCCATCGGCTGCGGCACCGATGCCACTTATTACCTGTACACTATCGTCTGGCATAATCATGCGTCGAGCTTCGAACCCTGAACCTGCGACGCGTCTTTATGCAACCACTCAACAAACATCCAACAAAGCATACTGGCGGGCGTTCTTTTGATAACTTGATTTTGCGTTTCTATAGTCATCATCTTTACCTCTGTCCTTGTTTTCTTGTCGGCATTCACGACATTCTACGGCTGTAGATTCAACACCAACTGCAACCTACCCACAGTAGCTCTGCAAAGTCCGAGGCTCCGAATCTACTAGCATTTTCTTCATGGCGCAAGACAGCTGACGGAAAAAAATATGGTTCATCTTTCTATGCTCGGAAATGGGTTTTCTTACTTGGCTTGGGGCAGTAGGCCGATAGAGGTCCGATACAATACATGCTATTGCAATCATCCCCTTGCGCTGTTTTGTGATTACTTCCGCCATGACGTAGGCCCCCTACTTACGAAACAAGGAGCTCTCTGCGCTCGCCACCGTCATACGAGGCCGAATTCAACAACTCCGGAAACTGTCCCGTACGACAATAACCCCCGACGTAAAGGCGGGTAACAGGTTGGTAATCAGCGAATGCAAAGACTCGCAATGTGTATCTAGACGCCAAAATGACGAGCAACCAAGACGGTGTACATGTGAATAACGCTCTAAAGATGCAGGGAAACAAATCTATGAAATAAGACATGAAATATATAGCAAAAGAAGAAGTAGTAGAAGAAGGAAAGTGCCAGAATTTGACATGGCTAAAAAAGAAAAATATATTTGCTTCGGAGGGGAATCGAACCCCCGATCTTCGCATTACTGATTATTGGTTAGTAGATTGGTCGCTGTGGAGCTGTGTGTTCAGGCGGGACCTACCGAGTGCGACGCCTTACCACTTGGCCACCAAAGCCAGGTGATTTCTGTGGCAACAGTCGCGCTTATTTGTAATTATACTGACTGGGGGAGGTCAAATAAAGTCGGTCATGATGTGTGCGTATCGTGTGTTGGCGTACTGGGTGGTTGACTTTCTCGCTTGCTATGGCGGCGTCTGATTCTCAATATTATTCTGCGTAGTGCAAGTAGAGGAACAGTTTTCAGACTTGTTTCAGACATTCTACGCCGATTTTATTGAGAAGCGAAATAGCTGCGGACAGCGCGTCGATTATTGATGAGAAATGTATTACTAGCCCAGCATTACTTGATGGCACCTGCCATGTACAGCTTGTATCGATGGACAAAAAGATCGCGCAACGTCTCTATGCTACCATTACACATTTATAGTATGATCAACCCTACTTAAAGCAGCAAGGCTCGCGCCACCTCAAGCATTCGCTGCCAAAAACGCAGAAGGTGCATTATTATGAGTTGCTTGGTGCGGGGACCACGAAGCGAGCGAGGGCGGCGTCCCGCGTCGACGCGCAAGTACGGACGGTATGTGGTATGTTCCATCTCTTGTATGCATTCACGACTTTATCAACACGCGAATTATCCCAATATCACAATAAGAGGAATGATAGCACCTTAGGGAATAGGTATGGGAACACTGTAATAAAGCTAAACATAATCAGTACACTAATTCAAACAATAATCAAAAAAAAAACCACATATCATTCGTCTTCCACAATTTATAGTAGCACACGGCACCTACCGACTGTTTCTCTGTTTCTTATGACAGGAGGACGCTGCTAAGAGAAATAACATCATTAATATGTAAACACTTATGATAAAGTGCAAAAAAAAAGTTGCTTCGGATGGGATTCGAACCCACGGTCTTCGCATTACAAGTGCGACGCCTTACCACTTGGCCACCAAAGCCGAACAGGTAGTGGGGACAGGTTGGCTTATTTCAATATGTACATCCTTGTAACTTAATCGCACCGTCCCCCCGCTGAACTTACTTACCAACTATGTTGTCCTATTTTAATACGCGTTGCTTTGCCTCTGCCTTTTCTTTTTGGTTGTGGGTGGGGCGAGAAAAACAAATCAAATAGAGGCGGCTTCTGAGCGCATGTCATGATACCCTGTATAAATGGCTCCCAACGTAAGACGAGTCCATCGACGTAAGCCAGTGTCAATTAGTGTGAGTTAGCTTTATATATCTTAAAGAGCCATAAGTTATGTAGGTACCAGGTTCTTGGCTTTTTTAAACACACTGTGTGGGCTTGGGTTTGGTGAGATTGCTTGCCTAGTATATAGAGAAAAGTATATACTTGTACGCCAGCTGATTAGGTATCTGCACCCAGAACAACACAAACAACAAGAAGTAAGAGGAAGAGGTGAGCCAATCACTCACATCAATCCAACAATATCTCATGGGATAACATGCAATACAAATTTACTATTCTTTATAACTAGACGCGATGTCGATATCCTTTGATACCTGCGACCGTTGAAAAGGTAGTCGAAAAGAGCGCGGGGCCGTCGCGCATCGAACGCGGAATGGAGCAGGCCTCGCCCAATGCTTTCGGACATTACCCACTTTGCCACACATACTCCGTATTGCCAGCCAAACAGTTCATTCAAATCAGAGCGTTTATTACGGAGAAACCGGCTTTAGTCCCGGGGCACTTTACTGGGGCCGCCAAACGACTTCCGTCCATCTCCAGTGTTTTGATTCGGTGGGTGGCAAGTGGGTAACCAGATGAACTGCCACTTTCCCCCAACTCTCTGTTTTCTCGGCAAACCTTAAATGATTGTATAAGTCCAAGGAACTATGATTGTGCGTGTAGACACATTTTTCGCAATTTTTTTCGGAAACGAGTCTGCTGTACGTGGATGTGCGCTGTCTACAGATGTCTTGCCTTCTCCACTGAGTCACGCGTCAAACGCGTCGCAAGGGATGAAGATGTGATATAGATTTGCTCTAATATTTAGCAACTCTCTAACTGTAGACTACCGCAATATGAATACCAGTTCAATACTCACGAATGCAAAACAAAAGTTGGTCCTGGCTCCCCATTCTGCACCTGCATGTGCATAAGGACATATCCCAACAAGGAGGGCAATACTCTAGCAAAGGCTCAGAGATTGAGGATACACCAAGTCGAAAAGATATTTGATGCTGGAAAATGCTAAATAAATGATAATAGATTGGATAACTATCACAGTTCTATAAAACCCTGAACCATCTTGACACATTGCTTATCCACCGATAATACATCCATTAATCGAGATACATTACTCTTCACATCTCTTCCTAGTGATGCCCATATACCAGCCTACTGGATAAGACTGCCAATGGCGACGCAAGGCAGGGCAAGGTTGACAAGACCACCGTAAGCCTAATTGTGTTGTTAGATCCGGATAAAAGGAGACGCTCGATATAACTTACGACAGAGGGAGTGTTGTGGCAGCAGGCCGCACGGTTGGTGCACTCGGACTGGAGAAGGTTGCCGATAGCGAGAACTATTGACTTGTTAGTACTTGCTCTGCAACTTTATCAACCACTTGAAGCTTACCATTGACGGGGATCTTAGTGCAGGTTCCGAGCAGGTGGGAAAGAAGACCATCAGCACCGATGGTGGCACCGATGAGGCCGCCGAGGCCGGTTTCGGGGGAGGAGTGCTCGATCTTGGTCGTCTTCTCGTTGCAGCAGTAGATGGACTGGTCGGCACCGCACCTGTCACCAGCCTGGCCGAGAGTCATCTTGTGCAGATCCTTTTCACCATGGTGGCCGGAGGGAGCAGCAGTCACAGCGGCGATGAGGGTGGTGATGGCAAAAGCGAAACGCATGGTGACGGTATTGTTTGTTTGGTTGAGGGATGTGGAAGAGGTGTCAAGAGGTTTCTGTGTGAGAACGAGAGACTGTGATGGGTTGAAGAAAAAGGAGAACGGTTACCATGGGGTCGCTCGCATGGACTCTTTATACCTGATGCCGCCGCTTCCAAACACCACCATGGCTCAAAGAAGCAAGATATGCATGACGTAGCATTGCTCGCGAGCAATGCGGAAAGAAATGCACAAGTCGTGGCTAGACGCTTTGGACCGGGACCAGAGGAAATGAACTCTAAAATTTGTTTCCGAGGAGCGCATGCCGTGCAAGATGGCGATCAGCCGACAGGCTTTCTTCAAAGAGCGACGGTCCTGCGCGACGGATATGACAGGACGGCATGGCATTTCTCGCTCTGCACCGACGCGGAGCGTATGTCTCAGAACTGGGTCCAACCCACCAAGAGTAAACCATAGTTACTGTTACCAGGCCATCTGACGAGCCCTATGTTGTGGCTTCCTAGACATGTCTTATACCCAGAACGTGGGACATTTCGAGTCCATGTTCGCGGTACAAAGCGTTGGCAATTTCACCACCCGAATTGTCTCGAAGCCGGTATGTTCTTTAGCTGGCTACACATCGGTCGCCTGCTGGATAAATCATTCTAACTACCATCTGAATTATTACGGCCGTGCCGGGCTTATTCTAACAATTTGCAGCTGTTTCTTCAGGTATTGCTTCAGCTGTTGTCTAAATGGCAGGGGGCAGGCCAATAGTTCCCCCACATAGGCAAGTCGCCCATCTACTGCTGATGTTGCAAGCATTCCATCAACGGTTTTTAGTGTAGGGATCGGCGTACCGCGCTATCGCATATCCGGTCTCTGCTTTCGGTACATCTGGAAAGTGATGAAAACGGCACGAATCTTGTTCGCGCACAGCGGAGATGTGGACGGCCGGCCAAAGTCGGCTCTGGTGCGGTTCTGCTCCAGAGTTCCCAGGCGGCGTCTCTTGCCAAAGAGATATATTTGGTGGAGCTGCAAAGAGCTTAAAGTTGTTGGCACAAGATGTCTTTGCTCCCCAACGACAATGCGTCTGGTTCATACCAGACAATCGAGCGTGCTGGATTGCACCAGATGAAGCTAAACTCAGGAACAAAAACAAGACTAAAAAAAAAAGAGAAACAAAACAAAAAGATACAATAAAAAGGAGAGACAAAAACAAAAGATCAACGACATGACCTTCTTCGCTAGCCGACTTGTCGCAGACGCATCTACGGACAGACCTAGTGCGTGTTGATTGAGTTGTTGCTTGACGAAACTGGGACGCTTTGTAGATACCACCAAGTTGACTGCGTGTAAAGTGATCACGTAAAATAGATCCAGATGATTTTTCCATAATGAAGACTAAAATGTGGATTGCTCCTAAAACACCTCACGGCAATTTCATTTTTTTTTTCGATCAACCTTGAAAAGCGACCACCACTATGACAGAGTGTCATTCTTACGTTCGCTATTCCCCTCCACACGCCTTGACCCAAACCCTCGCTTCATTGAAAGCTTTGAATTTGATTGATGGATTAAGAATATACCAAACAACTCAGCGCAGCCCAAGCGGACAGAACACTAGGGTGTGCCTATGCGAGAGGACTAACACTACTCAATTTTGGTAAATGACGCGGCAACGCGGTCGCGAGCCTCGTTGACCACCACAACAAGGGCCATCATGAGAATTGGCGGCCGGTTGAGACAAGGCTACTTCTAATCACAGTCCTCATTAAACCCGGCGTTGTTGAAGCCAAGGACATCGGCCACATCGACCGAACGTTGCGTCGGTGCAGGTGAAAGGGTGCATGGCTCATTAACAGCGGCACGAACAGGTCTCAAACGATCGAGTCTAGACGTTCCCTCATCAACGCCACCCTTCCGTTTTATCTAGTCCAAGATGTTGTTTCTGTGTGTCAAGTTGAAGAATAAAAGTTCACCAGAAAGGGCACTAGTCCAGACAAAGACCATTCGCCGGTAGTGAGGTGTGATATTAAGACGTGTCGGCGCTTTCTGGCGCCTGCAATAACTTTGAACTTTGAGTGAGATCCGTAATCTGGCTGAAGGACGCGCACTTGCAGCTGGGAACGTGCACGTTGCAAATATGAAGTAAAGATACCTATACAGCATCGGTCTCGCATCTTTAAACCCGACAGAGCGGTGATAAACTTTTCTCCGGTTTTATAGGGTACGGCGTACGGCTTTACCAACTTCGAACAATCAAGAGCAGTATGTTCTGCATTAGCCTTGTGACTGTAGCTAGCCGTCGCGAGAAGACGGCAGAACAATTAAATCCATCATTAGGCTCATTTTACTTTTTCAAGAACATCTCCGAGTCTTGCACAGACGCACCTAACCATCTTTCAATCCTTTAGATAAGAAGAGGCTCCTCCAGAAGGGATTCTTACCAACAAGGATGTACTGACAGAAGCAAAGTACTCAGAGATTCAGATCATAAAATCTGCTTTGACAGTACTGATACAGGATGTTACTTGAGGTTGAGTACCTTTTACGTCTAGAATCACTGGCTGTTGGTGATTCTCCTGGGTCACCCGTACTGGAGTTTCTTCGCACTCAAAGGGATGGATGCGAAGGTTTATAGCAGGCTTTGGAAAAAAAAGGGTCCAAGATCCCTAGGGTCTAAAGAGTTTTGCTCCAGTGAAAACCTCTTCAGCCGACCTTCTCGTGCTTGTACGAGCACTTTGGTAAGTCTCGTTCAAGAAGAAACTTCTGCTAAAAGAACCCTCATCAAAGTAAAACCACATTCGGCCAACGACCGAGAGAAGGGTCGAATTGACGCAAGTAGGAGAGAGCTAGAAAAGTATAACTTCCTGCAATGCGGTACCACTCTTAGAGTTTTGATCGATCGGAATTACGATTGGAGATGAAAAGCCACCACCACGAGATTAGACTGACGAGGTACTGCATCACAGCGCAGGCCAGACCGGGGCCGATCTGGCTAAATATAAAATTGGAAGTGGGAAACCCGTGTATACGAACTGATCACACTCAAAGTGCTGCGAATGGAGATATAATGCAAAGCTGCCAGTATCATTGGGCAGCCA